AATATTTGCGAAAAATCGCGTACTCTGATGTATACCAGTCAGCGGGGTGTTACAGCCATCAGAAACATGATGACCGCCGTCTGAAATCTGATTCTCGAGCTTCCAATCCCCCCAAGTCCACAGACAAAACTTCCGAGCCTAACCTGTCATCCAAAGACAAGGCCACGGAGAAGTCCTCTCTTGACAAGCAGCCTCTCAAGACTCCTTCCGCTGGTTCGACCAAGGCACTGATCGAGTCCGGTAGTCAAGTTGATACCGAGCGCGAGACGGTGCTGGGTAAACGGCCTCACACCGAGCAGGGTGCGGTCGTCTGGAAACGTGGGCGCGATAGTTATCTTCCTCCTGACCCCCTTGCTCCGAAGCCGACGTCCTTGATGTCTGCCTCCGTGAATGAGGTGTCCGAACGCCTCGAGAGTGTTCTCCTCGAGGACGATCGTAAAAAGCTTGGCCCCACACTGCCCGAATTCGGGGATCAATTTGTTCAGTGGCTTGCCCAGGTATTACTTTCCTCCCTTTTGCCTGCGATCTTCTTTTCACTCCACCTGTTACGCAGGAATTAAGTTGTGTTCTTTTCGTCGATCACAGGGTCTGGTCCAATTTTTACCTATAGCGCGAGAGGCTCGAGACAGCTCTGGGAAGTCCATAAAAAGTCTTGAGAGTACCCTCCGCTTCCTGCAGGATAAGAACTCGTCCCTCCTGCAGCACAATACCAAACTCCGCGAGCACAGGCTGGACAGAAGGCCGAGTTTGAAGTCAAGGTTAAATCCCTTGATGAAGAGCTCGCCTCCAAGAATAAAGTCCTCGCGGAACATGAGGCTTCCCTCGCTGTGAAAGAGGTTGTGGTGGCCGAGAAAGAGGCAGCTCTAAAGGAAAAGGAGGTTTTGCTCGAGCAGGAACGAGTGGCTCGAGCGCAAGCTGAGGCTGCTCGAGCACAGGCGGAGGCCGCTCTGGCGCAAGCGGAGGCCGCTCGAGTGCAAGCGGAGGCTGCTCGAGCGGAACTGGAGGCTACCTTAGCCAAAGAGAGGGCTGCCCACGCCACTTAATGTAAGCGCTATGCTGATGCTGCAGCTCTTCGGGCTCGGCAAATGATGTGGGGCACGACCACTGGGCAGCTTTTCCTCCGGGAGTTCCGCGAGCAAGTGGTGGCCGATTACATGCGGTCCTCCCCCTTTTGAAGGAGGTGCAGGACTTTGGGGTGGACTGCTTTCAGTTCGCCCTACAGAAGGCTGGCGAGCAGATCGCCGAGGATGATTTCGAGCAGATCGACCCCATGGTTATTTGGGAGGCCTTGCCCAAGGTTCCTTCCAGTTTCCAGGGTGATCCTAGCTTACCTCTCGAGCATGAGTGGTGGTCTGGACTGCTCGAAAGGACTCTGGCTCGATCGGACATTCTAAAGAAAACATATGCTCTGCCCGATGGCCTTACTCCTCCTGCCTCGATGCTAGCCGTGCTGACCGAGTCTATACGTCAACATCCGCTTAACGAAGCTTGTGACTCGACCTCCTGAAATGGCCATCCGCTCGATCCCAACGCCCATCAGAGTAATGCCGACTCGGCCGCCACTCCTCCCCCTTAGATGTAGTTTTGTGTTTTCCATATTGTCCGTTGTGAATTTTGAATTATGTATTCTGATGAACTATGTAATATTTGTGGAATAGTGGTATTTTGTCTTATACTTGCCTTGATCTTCAATAATGTTCTTGATACGTTTTCATTAGCCAGTCCATTCGTCATTATTTAAATGATGCTTGTGTGTTTGCCTCCCGATTACTTGAGTAGTTTAGTCGCACCATACACATACACATATGCCCACCCCTGGTAGGTGGTCGTTACACACGACCATCCAGCCTTATGGCTTTAATCACGATGGGTTTTCCCCTTGAAGCGCCTGCCCGCCCTTAAAGGGATGGTCGTTACATATGACCATCCAGCCTCATGGCCTTAGTCATGATGGATTTTTCCCTTTAAAACGCATGCCCACCCTCAAAGAGGTGGTCATCACATACGACCATCCAGCCTCATGGCCTTAGTCATGATGGATTTTCTCCTTTAAAACGCATGCCCACCCTCGAAGGGGTGGTCGTCACATACGACCATCCAGCCTCATGGCCTTAGTCATGATGGATTTTGTCCTTGAACGCATGCCCACCTTCAAAGAGGTGGTCGTCACATACGACCATCCAGCCTCATGGCCTTAGTCATGATGGATTTTGTACTTGAACGCATGCCCACCTTCAAAGAGGTGGTCGTTACATACGACCATCCAGCCTCATGGCCTTAATCATGATGGATTTTGTCCTTGAACGCATGCCCACCTTCAAAGAGGTGGTCGTTAC